TCACCTTGTCTTGGTTTTCCTTATTCTTGTAACACAGATTTCCAATCAAACGAATGAGATGAGATTTGAAACCCACGGCTGGATGTGAAATTTCTTCCTGCCCTGTCATGGCATGTGTGGCAGTGAAAATATTTACAGCCTGTTTCCCAGCAAGGTGAGTTAATCTCAGGGTATCTAGAGAAAATATTTTAATATATTACCATTAGCAAATTAGTCTCTCTTGGCACAGAGCTTTATTATTAATGGTTGAGTTCAACGCTAAGCAACATAATTTCTGATATTCAAAATCATGTCAGAGAACTTTGAAAGTTTACCTCATTGTGTGATTTGGGCTAATGTAACCATCCATGTAAGACCAGCCCAAGGTCAGAAGGCATTTTTGTGTAATTTTACACTCTTATACAGTTCACACATGAAGGCTGAAGGCAGCTGCTATCGATCCCTACCTAAAGAGTTATAATTTGTAGGTTGTTGAGAATTCTGGCATCATAAAGATATTGCTAAAACCAAGATTTTTAGAAAACTTCCTGAAGTTTGAATTTGTCACAGCAATACATACTAAACACAGAATTACTTTTTCCTCTCTACTTCGGCCTGTTCTGGCACTGTAGCATGACGAGAAATTTCAAGAACACAGAATTACAGAACAGTTTGGGTCAAAAAGGTCTTTAAAGATCACCTTATCTCATCTGCCATGGGCAGGGACACCTTCCACTATCCCAGGTTGCTCCAAGCCCTGTCCAACCTGGCCTTGGGCACTTCCAGGGACTGGGCAGCCACAGCTTCTCTGGGCAACCTGTGCCTCACCATCCTCACAATTTAACCCTACTCTGTAACACTTTGAAGCCATTCCCTTTGTTCTGTCACAACAGGCCCTTGTCAACAGCATCCTCCATCTTTGCTGGAAGTTCCATTCAGGTACTGAAAGGCCACAATTAGGTTTCTCTGAAGCTTCTCTTCTCCAGGCTCAACAATCCCAATTGTCTCAGCCTCTTCTCACAGCAGAGATCAACTGATCAACTTTAAGTTTCCTTAACACAAACATGCACAAAATAAATCCTGTTGTTAGTCATCTTACTGTAAGTCATATATCTAAGAACCCGTTACCAAAACGAGAGGTTTGGTTGCTTTTTAAGTTTTTCTTTTGTTGTTGCTGGAGGTATTTTCTTTATTTGTTTTTTTTTATTTGCTTGTTTGGGCTTTTTTCAATAAGGACCCTCCAAACATCTCAAAAGAGTCACAGCTAACAGCTGTTTCAGCCTTTTTATTTTTTAATTTTTACCTATTTGTCTTAAAAATACACTAACTTTTACAATTTTCTTTTACAATTTTCTGAGGTATGGTAGTATACCTCAGTCTCAAAGGGCTAAGATGTAAAAAAAAAAAAGAAAAGGTCATGGTATGTATCACCCCTCCTTCTTCCCTTGAGCATCTCTGGAACATTTTGACATATTTTCTTTGTGTACAGTCCTTCTCTTGCTGTTTCTTAGCTTCTTTAAAGCTGACCTTTAAAAGTCACTGGATTTGTTTAATAACATTCAAATTGCGCTTAAATTTCAAAAATTTGGGAAACAGAAGGGAACAGGCATGGAGGGAAAGTCCTTTTTCTACTTCTTGAAGAAACTCTTCTATGCATGCAGCCAGTGATAGAACATAGGAAGCAGCTGTACCTTCCACCACTTTCCATAGGAAAAGAGCATTGCTGCTTCTTGAATTGAAGCTCTGTTGGGCAACACAGGCCAACAGAGAAAGTGGAGAAGCAGAAATTTTCCAGGAACAAATCAAATATTTGAAAATGCAGATTAACTCCATCTCCTATTTATTTATCTTACTCAAAGGTCAGAACTATAATTACCACCAGTTGGGAAAAACATGTTTTCATTCACAGAGCACCAACAGTTAAGTCTTGTGGCTGCTCACTCACCTACAGCTGTTTCAAGCAAACCAGGGAATGCTTGCAGATGTTCCAACTGGCTGTTGTTTGAGGTCATTTCACAAAGAACATCGAGAAGACGAATTGTCACCAGTGCTTCCTGGAATGAAAACTGCATTTCTGAAAATGGCTTATGAAGGCTATCACAAAAGCATAAACCCAGAAATATAAATAGGAGACAGGAACTCTCAGCTCCTCAGGTTCTGTGCAGGTCTTTCAAACTGCCAAGAATAAATTTATATAAATTAGGGCAACTTTCTAAAATAACAATAACGTATTAGATTGCAATTTCTTTTCTACAGTTAGTGTTATATCTGCCTGAAAAATCATGGGGAAACCAAAACAGAGCCATAAGGGATAAAATTTTAACAAAAACACAGTAGCTTCCAAAAGCAGAAATACAGAAAATTACTAGCTGAGAAAATTATTTCTGTATAAATGTTTTCTTTGAGTTTATTCAGTCGGAGCGCTCCACTTTAAAGACACAAACACCGCCTGCAAGACACCAATTTGTTATCCGCAGGAATTCTGTAAAGTTCTGTGGTCAAACAAACTCTGGCTGTGAGAATTTACATTATTCTTGGGTAAATAGGATTGTGATCAGAGATGCAGCATTTTGGTTAGGTATGAGACACAATTTCATTTGCATATTACTTATTCAGCCACAGAACTATTTTTTCTCATGGAATATGTTGATCCTGCTTATAATGACAATCCAGCACTTGCAGAAAATACCTTAAGAGCACATGACAGAATTTGGAACACCACATATTGCTCAAGAGCCAGGCTGTGACTGCAAGATGATCCCACTCCAGGTGTGTTACATAAACTGCAAGTAGCCATGAAAAGGCGGAGACATTGGTCACAGTAATTATTCCTGCCTTGTCTAGTCCAGGAAAAAAAAAGGTTTACTTACCAACAGTATAATATTTTGGATCCATATCATCAACACAATGTTATTCAAATCATCAACAATAGGATTCAGTAATTAAGCAGTTCAATTATATTCATTTAATGGTCCTTGAAAACACCAAATTGCTATAGGGTCCAGGTACTAAAGCTGTATTTTCATTTTTTGACCCATACAGGCGTAGGAAAATGCAAGTCTTGCCCTAAATTATTCAATAAACTGCTTTCATCAGCACAAATACATTGGCCATTATCCTGTTACAAAGTAATAATACTCCAACTGTATTTCAGAGACAGTAACCAGCTTTTTACAATTTTTAAGAGGACTAGATTATTTAAAATATAAAAACTCTCAAATTTTCATGTACATTTGAAACTTGTAAGTTCAAAAAATTGTTTCTTCCCTTCTGCTGACTTTCCAAATTGGGGTTTTTTTTGCCCTCCACCTGTACAAAAGAAAGGCAGTAAAGGAAAATACTTCCTTTTGAGGTTCAAAACCCAAAATAGTTTGAACTCTGACAGACATGGCAATATGGATATAACCTGAAAAGTAAATAAGGAAATAACTGAGGGCTTTTAAAATAAGCACATTTAGAGTGAGATGCAGGAAAGATGTTCCTTATAAAGAGATGAACTAAGTCCAGGGAAGGGTTTTATTTTGCAAGTATGGTTGAAAGTTAGTGCATGCTCAAGTCAGGCTTCAAATGGAAAAGCTATTTTAAACATTGGTTTAAGCACTGCAAAAGCATATGATTAGCTTCTCATGGGTTTAAGATGCAAGCTACAAGACCTGATGTTCCTTAAGAAAACAAAGCAGTGTCTACATATAACAAATTAAACAGTGGATGGGACACCCAGACAACATTCTGGGAGTCAGGCCAGTCCAAGGACTGTTCCCAAAAGTTTTCAAATGTGGCCTCAGAATTCTGGAGTCTAAGGCAGCTTACTACTACAGACATGGCCTGAGCAAGGCACTTGGCTTGTGGGCTACAGAAAAGGCCAGGCAAATCCAAGCTGAGTATCACAGATGTTGCCTAAAGCCTTTTTAATGACAGACTCTACATGCACAATTACATTTTTTTGCAGTTAAATACAACTGCTACACAAAATCTAAAAATACTTATACAAATGATGAGAAATTGATGCAATTCTTTATAATTTCTTGTAAGGAAAGAAACAGTTTTATGAATTTAGACTGGCGTTTCTCTTTTCCCATGGCAAGCATAGGTTGTGAACAACTGTATACACAGATATGCGTGCATACATATTGCCCTCTATTTATTCACTTATTAGGACTTATATTTTCTGTTCATTCAGCGAGCCCCATTTTCCCATCAAACAGTGATACTCAGCTTATCATACATCTTGTTCATATGAGAGAAGAACTCAGTGTCAAGAGGGCAAGTTATGCAGTAATAGTCACAATATTGCTGTCCCAGAACTTTCTGGTTGGATAGAGACCTCCTTCTGATGGGTGCAAACAAATAGCTTTTTTTTTCCATGAACTGAAACCACAGAAAGTGGTTTGGAAAGAAACCACAAAGGCAAAAACACATAAAAGGAAGGCAGGGGAAAAAAAAGTAAAGAGGGAATTGTCTCAATGTATGTCTTCTCACTGCCAAGTTAGTACCTTTTCCAGAAGTAGTCAATTAAGTTATCACATAACTTAGACTAAACAGTTGGGGCAGTGAGGGAGACTGTGTTTCTTGGACAGATAAGAAGAGATTGTGTGCTTGTTGGTTTGTGTTTTGGGTTTTTTAACACATGCAACTACCACCTCCCCACAAAGTAATTTATGGTATTTTTTCACAACACGTCTCAACCTACTTTTAAAATTCCTGTGCCTATTTAAACAAAAAAACCCAAGCAAGCAAATATATTATCATATAAAAGCATTTAAGATAAATGTTTTTTTTACTTCGATAATAAATTATTTATGACACTTCTTCTCTAGAGTTTCTAGAAGTGAAACTATTGCACATTAGTTTTGTATTAACAATAAAATTATTCTGATTACACATATATTACTGTTTCCCATCTATGAACAGAATAAGTATTTTAACTTTGGTTCATATTTGAATCATAAGATCATCATAGAATCACAACATATTCTGAGCTGTAAGGTAGCCACAAGGATCAAGTCCAACTCTTAGGTGAATGGCCCATATGGGGATCAAACCCAGAGCCTTGGTGTTACCAGCACCATGCTCTGACCAGCTGAGCTCATCTCAGGTCATGGTCTGAGTTGGAAGGGACCTTAAAGCCCATCCTGTCCCACCTCCTCCCTTGGGCAGGGAGGCCTTCCACTATCCCAGGCTGCTCCAAGCCCCATCCAACCTGGCCTGGAACACTGCCAGGGATGGGGCAGCCACAGCTTCTCTGGGCACCTGTGCCAGGACCTCACCACCCTCACAGGGGTGGATTTGTTCCTAACATCTAATCTATCTTTACTCTCTGTCAGTGTGAAGCTATTCCCTCTTTTTCTGTCACTACACATCCTTCTAAATTTGAAGGAATTAAAATTCACAACTCAAATAAATTATAGAAGTGATCCTTAGTAAAACAATAAAATACCCAAATATGTGACAACTTGAACATCTTTTAGATTTTGAAATATTTAACAATGGGGTAGACTTATTTCAAAGTACCATATCCTTTGCCATTCTCAAATTAAAAGTGAAAGTTGGCTGCTGTCCTACAGACTCTACTGTGGGCTCTGCCACCTCTTTCCCAACAGAAGCTGGAAAAGATACTGTTATGTATGCCCCCCCAGGGCATCAGTGGCAATGAGGATTTATCATGTCTAATTCTAGTAATTAAATGGTTATCAGTCATACCTCATCTTCCACGTCTGCTGCAGCAGTTAACTTGAGCACAGCTCCACACTTCTCTTGGAAACAGTCTGCAAGGAAGTCAGCATGTCTGACAAACACATTCATTTCTTCACTGGTAACTGAATTCTTGTCACTTACTTTCACCATCATCAGCTCTAACAAAGTAATTCTGGAGACAGAAAACAATTTGTTACTCAGATTCACTGAGCCACATAGAATTATCAGTAGAATAAGCAGTAGTTAAAAATCATGAAAACGATTATTATGCTAGTAACAGATAGGATGTTTAAAAATTAACAAGCCTCATGAATACTGGCAATCAGTTTCTGTCTGCTGAGTTTTTTTCTGTACAGAATTAATTTAATTCATAATTCAAGTAATACAATCTGGCTGGAAAGTCAGTATTTTTCTCAAGTCTATTTCAATTTATAATTTCTTACATCCTAATAAAACATTACTGAGATTGCATATTCCCAATACCTAAAATTTCCAGCAAACCAGCTCTTAAAAGCTGTTAAGCATAGCAAAATAAGCAGAGACTAGTTGACAGCTTCTGTTTGAAAAATACAGGTTTTCACAGCCCTTACCTTGCCCACAGTCCTTCACTAACTCTCCTCCACAAGCCCAAACCAATTCTGAGCCCAAACAGAGAAAATAAAAATTGATATGCACACTCTGTTCTTTATAGTCACTTTATTCTATTGTTACTAGATGGACTAAGCAAATCCAAGTTCAATATATTAAGCTGGCAAGTAACTAGACACATAATGAAGCTGCTCTATGTAATCTACCTGAGTTGGGTTTTTAACAGCTTTAATGTAATTTTATTTCCAATGTCCTTTCATGTTGTCAGGGCAAACTGGAAGCATTCTGTGGAAGTAGGACTTGGACATGGCAGAGGCCCTCCTACAGGTCCCTGCTCCAGTCCAGCCACAGAGACTGGTGAAGCTGTCATTCTCTCAAACTGAAAGAACACTGCTTATTGAATGAATTCAAAAACCAGTTCAGGCTTTTCTTTCAGTGAAATATTTGACATTTAGATGGAAGGACTGACATTTAAACATGTGAAATAGTTCAAATGCTTTTTCTTTTAAATTTACCATGCAGGTTGTCAGAAGAGGAAGAGAAACGTCTTTTTCTGTGCAAAAAGCTTGGTCGCTGCTTTATTGACCTCCAAGAACCCACCTCTATTAATTACAAAACAGCTACTTAGTCCTTGCTAGTACATTAATACATGAATACAGCTGCATTAAACTATTATCTGAAGGAGGACAGAAAGCTTTTCCAGCATGGCAGCACAGAAGTGCTGTCGGCACATGTGACGAAGGGTGGACGTGGGGCAGGAGGCTGGAGCAGCCTCTCTCAGGGGCTCTGCTCATGGTCTGTTTGCTCTGCAGGTTACAGCCAGGTGCACCCTGCCCATCTCCAAACGACCAGAGCCCAGCTCCCCAACACCCCACACTGACCAAAGGCTTTCCCATTTGGCACCCCATACAAAACCCAAGCCCACTGACACAGGGCTAGACTTGATAGGTCAGTTTTCACCAAGTTCAGAGTCTTTCAAGCATATGCTTAGCTAAGAACACAGGCTGGTCACAGACTTGATGAACAAAGGAATTATTCCAGGACTGCAGTGGGTTGACCCTGGCCAGATGACAGGTACCTACCAAAGCTGCTCTCACACTTCCCTTCCCTCCCCTCTCCCCATTAGCTGAATGGGGGAGAGAAAACTTCACAAAGGGTTCATGGGTTTAGACAAGAGCCATGAGATATCACCTATCAAATACTGTCATGGGCAAAAAAGGCTCAAAATTAGAGATATAACTTAAATTTATTACTAACAAAATCAGAGGAGGATAATGAGAAGTAATATAAAACTTTAAAAACACTTTCACCCGCCTCCTTCCCAGCTCTACCTCCTACCCCAGTGGTGAAGGCAGACAGGGAATAGGGGCTATGGTCAGTTCATCACCCACTGTTTCTCCTGCTACTCAGGGAAAGGAGTCGTTACTCTGCGGCACCCTGGGGTTCCTCCCATGGGAACTTCTCCAACCTGAGTCCATCTCATAGGCAACAGATCCCTGCAAACTGCTGCAGTGTAGAGCCCCTCCTGTGGGTGAAAGTCCCCTTCCAACTGCTGCAGTGTGAGTCCATCCCACAGGCAACACTCCCCATCAAACTGCTGCAGCATGGGTCACCCTACCATGGGTACAGTCTTTCAGGGACAGGCTGCTCCAGTGTGGGCTCCTCCTTCCAGTCTCCCATGGGGTCACAGTCTCCTCTCAGGCATCCCCCTGCTCTGGCACGGGTCTCCTCCACAGGCTGCAGGTGGATCTCTGCATCCCCCATGGATCTCCATGGGCTGCAGGGCACAGCTGCCTCACCATGGTCTGCACCATGGGCTGCAGAGGAGTCCCAGCTCCAGTGCCTGGAACATCTCCTCCCCCTCCTTCTTCACTCACCTTGGTGTCTGCAGAGTTGTTCCTCTCACATATTCTCACCCTGCTCTCCTGTGGCTGCAATTACAACTGTGCAAATGCTTTTTTTCTTTTTTCTGAAATACGTTATCCCAGAGGCGTTACCACCATTTCTAGTTGGCCCAGCCTTGTCCTGAAGCACATCAATCTTTGGAGCTGCCAGGGATTGGCTTTGCCAGACACGGTGGAAGCTTCCAGCAGCTTCTCAGAGAAGCCACCCCTGTAGCCCCACTGCTACCAAAAACCAGGCCGTGCAAATCCAAAACAAACACTATCTTCTGCTAGACAGGATTATAGTCAGTGCTTCTTGCACCAATAACCCAAATAATAAATGTTTAAAACTGACAAGCAATCCTTTTGTAAATAAGCTGGAGAGTCATCACGCTTCCATAAACCCCATTACATAAATGGTTGCCAATAGGGAATATTTTTTGCACTACTCGTCCCCTTGCAGTACGAATGGATGTCTTTTTCAACAATTGCAGTCCTTCGTTAAAACACCACCTGAATGTAATTTCTTTTGAAGTTTTCTGGTCTCTTTAGGCATTCAAGTCAAACTATTTTTCTGAGTTTTCTTCCAGACACAATCATTCAGGACATGCCCATCCTTCCCTGAATTTCAAGTAAGTTTTTTTTCAAGTTTCAAGTAAGTTTTATTCAGCCAATAGTTTCTTGAGATTAAAGTGCTTTGTTCTGGTGCAAGTTCCCTTACATTCCTTTTTTCTATTGTTTCCCTCAGTTTTCTTTCAAGACGTACCCTAATTTCTCCAAGTTAGTTCTCCCAGACAATGCAATTTACCCATTTTTTTAAAATGATCTCACAACTGTTCAGCCATTCAAATGGCAGCATTTCTTCCTACTTGTTTGCCTGCAGCTAAATACAACAAATATGACAACTGCTAGTACCAGTGGAATTTTTGTAACACTCAGTTCAGTATCTCAAATCTAATTCTGTGTATTATATTTACAATTATACTTTTGTTTAGAAATAATCATGCCATCTTTCTTTTCTTTAAGCACCACTGAGGAAGATCTTTTGTGAATCTCTTGCAGTTTTTTTCCCCCAGCCAAATTTAAACCAGCTCTTTCTGAAGCTGACTAAATTGGCATAAACCTAGAACAGCCAGTATAAGGTATTTGCAGTCATCAGTAAAACAAACTTCTGTCTCCTATAGCTTGAAAATAAACCACAGAATTCAAATGCAATTTAAATCTGGAAGCTCATTACTACACAATAAAATGCTGTCTCACTAAGCCTAAAACTAGCAGTGTAAAATTATATTTTCTTAGCATCAAACAATGTTTGCATCAAATTTGTTTTGTTTATAATCTCTTAGCAAGGGCCAGGCACTTGGGACATTCCTCCTCTGTGACTTAGGCTTCTCCTTCCTGAAACACTTTCCTGACAGCAATGGTTCCATGGGACAAATTAGACCCTCCCTCAAGACTTTCATGTCCTTCATCTTCAGATGATACTTGCAAGCATCATATTCAATGAAAACTAGTAAATTTGTGAGTAACTGTAGTTCAGCGCTACCTCCAGCTACTCTATGTCTGTGAGCATTGCCAGGAACAAAACCATCCCAAGCACTGACAATGGCAGCCCTGTAGCTGAGCGTTAGCAAGAAGTGGTGCTGCTTACTTGAGTGCCCATTTCCTGGCAGGCAATTCCATCAGCAGCTGCATCCTTCACTCAGGACTTCACCTGACAACACTAAAATCAAACCTAGAGATGTAAGTACTTGAGCATCTTAAAAACACCTGAAGCTATTCAGCTGCATGTTTTCATGCTGCTAATTAAAACAGAACCCCTTCTTAGGAAGGACAACAGATGTGCTCACTTTTGAAGATTTTATAATGTAATTAAGACAAGCAAGGCATGAACTTACAGTGTCCATGCTCAAGGCTAACTTGGATGAATGCA